GATACTGAGAAAATGGTGGGACTGCAAGTTGTTGAGAGATTCGAGAAACCCATGCGGATTGACACTCTTGGAATGCGCAAGGGTACTTATGACAAGCTGGATGAGGACGGCATCGTTGCTCCGGGTGTGCGTGTCTCTGGAGAAGATATTATTATTGGAAAGACAGCTCCGTTGGCTGCTGATGCGGAGGAGCTCGGCCAGCGCACTAAGGCACACACAAAGATTGATGTGTCGACGCCCCTGCGCAGTACCGAGAACGGTATCGTTGATCAGGTTCTGATCTCCACTGGTAATGACGACCTGAAGTTCGTCAAGGTTCGCATGCGTACCACCAAGATTCCTCAGATTGGCGACAAGTTTGCTTCTCGTCACGGTCAGAAGGGTACCATTGGTATCACCTACCGACAGGAGGACATGCCCTTTACTCGGGAAGGTGTCGTCCCCGATCTGATTATTAACCCCCACGCCATTCCGTCTCGTATGACCATTGCCCATTTGATCGAATGTCAGCTCAGTAAGGTTTCTGCTCTTCGTGGATTCGAGGGTGATGCTACTCCTTTCACTGATGTCACTGTCGACTCGGTTTCCCGCCTTCTACGTGAGCACGGCTACCAGTCGCGTGGCTTTGAAGTTATGTTCAACGGCCACACTGGTCGCAAGATGGTGGCGCAGGTGTTCTTGGGTCCCACCTACTACCAGCGTCTGCGCCACATGGTGGACGACAAGATCCACGCTCGTGCCCGTGGTCCCACTCAGATTCTGACCCGCCAGCCTGTGGAGGGTCGTGCTCGTGATGGTGGTCTCCGTTTCGGAGAGATGGAACGTGATTGTATGATCGCCCATGGTGCTAGTGCTTTCCTGAAGGAGCGTCTCTTTGACGTTTCTGATCCGTTCCGTGTTCATATTTGCGACGACTGCGGCCTGATGACACCAGTTGCGTAAGTTTTCCACTCCCTACTTGATGCCTTTTCGTCACAAAACTAATTGTCTTTATAGGAAACTGAAGAAGGGCCTTTTCGAGTGCCGTCTTTGCAACAACAAGCACCGTATCTCACAAGTCCACATCCCCTACGCCGCCAAGCTGTTGTTCCAAGAGCTGGCCTCCATGAACATTGCCGCTCGGATGTTCACCGATCGCTCTGGGGTTTCGGTGCGTTGATTTATGGTTGCTCAATTCTTCACATTTGTACTTTAATGATCTTGCTGGAAAAATGCGCATCTGCTTGGCCTGTTTCGCGGCGTCTCGGAGGATCGTTGGCCTTCGCATTACAATAACCGGCCCTACATATTTGAATTCAAACACTTTATGTGTAGTTTTTTTCCACCGGGCCCTAGATCAGTAATTCATGATGCTCCCTGGGGGAACACACTTAGCACACCTATTTGGAAGGCATCTCTACCTCCCACTACCTCAAGCTGACAATTCAAAAAATGTCCTAATCGGCCTTTACATTTCGTAAGGAAGGTCTGTAGTTTTTATAAAAAAATTTGTAAGGGCCGGTTAGTAGAAGGTGCCTTTTATAGAGAGGGTGTTTGTAGACCGTTGCATTTAGCTAGGGTTTGTAGCCACAACTACAAGAATCTTCTATCTACAGTGAACATGGACGCAGGTCGTATCTCATTATTCATTGGTATCTCAGAGTAAGACCTAAACCAAAGCATGGACAAATCCATGACATCAGGGATGTTCTTTGGTAGATGAGACGCCGTTTTTAATCTTGGTCAGGCCTCTTTTAGAACCAGGAGGCTCAGGGCAGATCTTGTCATCTTATGGCTTGTGCTGGTCAGACATTGACTGGCTCAAGATAAGCTTGTCGGAGTCCACGAGGCTGGATGATCCAGTGTGGGTGTTGGCCACATCGAAATATTGGAATCGATGTCTTCTTCTTCTTCTTCTTCTTCTCTTCTTCTTTCCCCTCACATCCCCTTCTCTCACACAGACAACCATCGTCCCCGCCCAACCGCAGTGCGAAGCCAGTCCACCCGCGGCTCGGGCTGTTTTTGGTATATTTATCGTTTTAAAAAGAATCAAAACAAACGCATGACCAAGTCCCAACGGACCGGAGAATTCAAGCGCAAGAACAAATGGAGAAAAAAAACCTAGCAAGGCGTGCAGGACCAACGACGGCCCCAACCTTACCAAGATATACACCATCTACCGACGGACAACAATACCCTGGCGACGGACAGCGTTGCGAGCACGGCAGTACTCCTCGTCACTCTCGTACTCGGACTCGGAGCAGCTATCATCGGAAGACTCAACGTATCCGCAGCGGGCACCACCACAGTCGAGCTTGACGCGGTCGCCCTTGCGGGTGATACCGTAGCGCTCGCAGCGGCAGTGCACGGGGGGATCGCTCATGGACGAGAGCGAAGATGGCGAGGTAGAGCCCGATGACGACCGCGACGAGAGAGATGATCCCGCAGAGCTGGGTGGGCTGTTCGAGTACGAGTACTCATCGGACATACGGGAGCCGGCGAAGCGGCGGGTCAAGTCGTCAACGGTCGGGGCGAAGTCTGCTTCGCGGAGCTGGCGGGAGGCGTAGTGCTTGGTTGGCTTGGGGTGCTGGATGCGCGAGGGGGACAGGGCGCGGCCGGTTGCGATGTCGTTGCGGCTAGCCTTGGGGGCGGAGGCGCGGCTGCTGGGCTTACCGCCGGGGACATCGAGGATGTTCAGCTTGCGGCCGGTGGTGGGCTCGACGGTGTACTCGACGGCGGGGTCGTGCGACACGTGGTACCCGTCCATCATGTAGTAGTACCAGTAGCGGCTTCCGAGTTGGAGCATTGAGGTCTGGAAGCGGAACTTGCCGACCCAGGCGCCGGGCTTGCCTTCGCTGGAGAGGGGAATCTGACGTTGGTAGTTGTCCCATGAACCGACGAGGTGGACGGTCTTGACGTTGGACGAGGTCCGGAGGGAGAACTTGAGTTGAACGGCGGCCATGATGAATCCAATGTATCAAAAAAAGGTTTGTCGTATAGATCAAAAGATCACAAGAGTATATAGTTAGAACAACCTAAAACTGCCAGAGTTTGGTTGTCAAGTTGATGGAATCAGGACTCTTTGATCTTTGGGGAACCGGTCCGACAAAGAAAGAAGAATAATCGAGCGAGATTATATTAAATTGAGTTTGTTGTAGATATCTGTTCAACAGTGAAATCAAGTCGACCGGCGACAAGTAAACTGTTAATAGTTGTCAAATTCGAGGAAATCCGAAGCAAGGCAGAATCTCAAAGAGCACAGCTCGTTTGATAAAAAAAAATAAATAGTAAGATATTAGTATAGAAGAGATAAAGAAGAAAAAAAGTCCAGGCAACCAGTGCTCAGGATCACTCGAATAGGGCAGATACAACAAACGCTCGCTGAAGAAAAAAAAAGAAAGAAATCCGCCTCGAGGTGGCTATGGCATTCTTTTAAGCAAGTCGATTCGATCAGCAGTGCAGAAGCAACTTGTCTTGCAGTTGGGCGGGTAATTGATGATGTTGGTTGGCTCAATGCATGTTGCACTGTGATGTGCTGCTCTCATGGCGGCGGCCAATGATCGACAAGGATTTGACGCTGGGGCTCGGACCAAAAGAGGAGAGAGTTTTCTATACGAAAGGCCATTGTCCAAGCAGCTGGCATTTGCAAAGCAGTCTCATAGATTGTGTTGTCTAGACTGCGAGCCTCACCCAACTCCTAGAGACGGGAAGAGTCAGACACGGGATTTCAATCCGGGTACTCCCCGATATCCCAACGTCATAGTTAAAAATGGACGCGGGATGTGCATTAAACCTGTTCAAGAGGACAGGGGATAAAGAGAGTCTGCATTGGGGGAACTCTCCGCTTTTCCCCATTTCGACCTCAGTATCTTCATATTCTCCGTTTCCCCCTTTTTCAAACAGCACTTCGAAATAGGACTTGCGACCGGGTGGATTTCTTCATCCCTGATTGGCTCAATCCTTCCGATCGTCCATAACGGTCGAGAGGTGGATAAAACATGGGGGAAAGGCAAGGGGCCAACGGTAAGGTCGTTGGTCGGTTAATGAGTAGTTGAAGCACTAAAGCTGTAAAGAGTCATGTATCCGTCTTGATCCGTCTTGATCCCTGATGGGTTCTTTTGTTCTTGTCCACACAGGTTAAATAACGGGTATCTGGTCTTTTCTTTTCTCTTTAGAATCGCATTTATCTCTTTTCTTGCAGTACTTTTAACCATGCAAAAATCACTCGAGATTGTAGGTAGTCTCTTGATACAATTTGACGGGGATCTGATATCAGCCATAGGACCCGGACTACTATGACATTCAACGCGACGGCTATGTAGATACCGACTTTGCCTCGTAGGTAAATGCACTGGGTGATGATCAATTAATCTGACCTGGTCTGCAGTGAAACCACCTCTCTAGCATCCTTTGTCTACAAGGGAGTGTTCGAAAATGGAAGACGGTATGTAGATGTTCGAATCTACCGAGCTCGGATATTGACATATTAGGTATCAAACTGTGAGGGAGGGTGCATCGTGGTACATACCCAAACATCAACTCCATTAGAATCCCTTCTAATCTCCCTCTAGGTGTCCATCTGACGAGCAACAATTTGAGAGTTTAGAGGCCGGGTGAGGTCGATACCACCACACTAATACACACGAGCTAACTCGCCTAGTCACCTCCTCTGTATACTCCTGGATGCCAACACCCCGAACCCACTCTTCCACGCACCAGTGAAAGATCTCAAGGTATACACACGCAGAAATTTCAGCACCACAATTACGCCCGTTGACCAACTCAAAGCAAATCTTGGACATCGGCACAGGTCGAGGCAACTGGGCCATGTAAGAGCAGACTTTTCCCGGGCCAAGAACACCAATTAACAAAATATAGCGATGTAGCCGACATGTTCCCAGATGGTAATTACATACATATCCTCTACAACCCCCAGAGACAGCGAACTAACCAATCCAGCAACCGTCAGAGGCGTAGACCTCTTTCCCCCACCAGGAGAGTGGCTTCCCCCAAACTGCATAATGGAAGTCGACGACGTCCTCCAAGAATGGACCTGGCGCCAGCACTTTGATCTGATTCACATGCGCCAGCTAATAGGCGCCTTCACACCGGAAGAATGGGACGGTCTGTTCAGCCAGTGTTACAAGTAAGCCTGTCAATCCCCCCGACTCAATATCAACACCCCTATCTTCGTTGCTAAACAGGAAGCTAACACCAGCCCAACAGAAATCTAAACCCAGGAGGCTGGATCGAACAGATAGAAGGTGACCCCCGAATCAACTGCTCGGACTCTACCATGTCCACAGACTCCAACGTGGTCAAGTTCACGGAAGCGGTATTCCGCGCTGGGAAGGAATGGAACCACCCCCTCGATACGCTGGACACGATGCGCGCCGCTATGGAAAAGGCCGGCTTTGTCGATATCCATGAGAAGGAGTATAGGTGGCCTGTTGGGCCGTGGGCGCGAGACCCTACGCTCAAAGAAGCGGGAAGGTTACATTATCACCAGTGGACGGCTGGTATGGAGGGTTGGGGCATGTATCTTCTTACGAAGTTTGGGTTCCCGACACCTTGGACAAAGGAGGAGGTGCAAGTTTTACTGGCGAAGGTTAGGAAGGAGTTGCAAGATCCACGAGTTCATATGTGGCAGTATGCGTGAGTTTGCATTCTCTTATTTTGATTATTGAGGAACAGATTGCTGATGTTTTATAGGAGGAGAGTTTGGGGGAGAAAGCCTACGGAAGAGGAGGCGAAGATAAAGAGTGAGGATGTTGCTATGGACACTGGCATGTAGTCTGGGCTATACCCTTTTACTTGGTTCATTGATAAAATGCAAAGATGGATAGAAAATGCTGGCTCATCATTTGATCTAACCAACATGTGAATATCAAAGAGGGTAGATGTGGACCACTGAACTTATATTGCACAAAGAAAAGGCGAAAGAACATGGCGATTCACCTAAGTCCTTGGTAAGACAAAAGGGAGACAATACATATACGAGTGGGAAGAAGATGCAGAGGGAGAATGTAGATGTGATCAGGGGCTAAGTTTGAACAATTCCATTCAGTCATCGATGCTAGAATCTCGACATGCAAAAGGAACTAAAGTAAACCCCTCATCGGCGATTCGGATAGAGACTGCTGTAGACGAAGATATGCCTTCAAGCAGGGACTATCCACGCCAAGACTCATAGAACCACCAGTTTCGCTGATAAACTTGCGAATGTGAGCGCCTATATTAAGTCAGCAACTGAAAACAAGCATATCACGTTGCGTGAAAGCTTACTGTGTCGGCCGATGATACTTCTTAACTTCAATGGTTTTAATCTCACTTGCATCGAGGACAGTTTCACTGCCTTCTCTCTCGGTGGGTTACAACATGACCAATATTCTCTTTGACATTTCAATGGTGATCTGTGCGTTGACAAACAAGTCATGATTTGTCTGTGTGTCGAACTCGTCCTCCGCGATCTGGGCAACATACTAATGCTAGTATGTTTATGTTGGCCCGATCCACCGACTCCTAGAAGCAGAGGTAGCTGCAGGATCTTGCGGGGTTGCCGGTAAAGCCAGAAGAAAAAAACAATGCTTTACTGAAGGAGCCCTGCCAAGTGAATCTGCCTCCGTCAGGATCGCATCGACCTCGGCTTAGTGGTCTTGTATTATTCTGATTTCTGATCAAAAGCTGCACTGTGGGCTCCTGAGCATTGCCCGCTTTGAAACTGTCACATGTTGGAGGTACTCGCGGAATTTGATATAGTCGTCATCCCGCACAATCGCTCGGATTCCATCTTTCAAAGATTTGATATTGTCTTGAATTGCCATATCACTGCCGTATCTTGAGCTGCTGCCTCATGTCGTCGTTGGATTCATTCCCATACTTCCGCCATTGGCGAATTCTCTCCGTCAAGTCAGTTCTCCGACCAGTCTCGGGTTCCACACAATGAAAGTATGTGAGCCCCAGCGTTTGTGGTAGTAGTGCTCCAGGTTGGTGTCATTTGGCTTGGTCGCGCACCTCCTTGACATGCTTGTTTGCATTCGATTTCGAGACAAATGCCTTGTCGCAATCGACATTCTTTGCTCGTAAAAAAGCCTTGGCCGAGTTGGCTTATAACCATAAACATCCTCTGCGTGCCTTTTGGAGTCAGTCTGGTATGAAAGTCCACAGTGCATCCCTTCTCCAAGGGACAGTGCTATTTGCCTTGGCGGAAGACGAGCACAGGCATTTAACCTACGGTTAGTGGGCTATCGGTGCTCGCAATCTACCTAGACTTCCAGGGAGTGGGAGTGGTAGTTGGGAGGTAGTGACCCAATATATATAGAGGCTATCGGGACGCCATTCCCATTTTGGATCGAACTCCAAAACAGTCGGCGTGGCCTGTCTCCATGGTTTCGACAAGCACATTTGTTTGATATATAGTTCGACGGCCTTGAGGACACAGATCATCACCGCCGGGGCTGTTTGGGGGGAGCAGAACTCCAAATATAATCAAATGTGATAGGTAGCACTGTGGTGATGTGGTCCTCGTTTCTGGGAAGCTCTTTCTTTCTGGTGTGGTATGTTAGCTTGAACAGATCTGGAGACTTTACCTGACTTACTTCGCCTTGTGTATGTACCTTCCTGATATGCCCAGACTTCTGCTCGATGCGGTGTCTAGTCCTTAGGTTTCATGCCAGGAACGTCAGCCCCTGTAATCCTGCCACGGGACCGAAGTTGAACATGTTCCACTGATATATACTGGGTGAGTGGTGTCCATATTGCTTGTTGATGGAATATAGAAGATGCGAGAGGGAGGAAGGGATCTGGTATTCCCTACAAATGAACTGAGGCTGAACTAGTTAGTTAGTTATAAGAGGAGCTTGTGCCTTGAGACCAAGGCACCCGTTTACCTTCCTTCACCCAGGACCAACAACTTCCTAGATAATTTAGATAAGTCTTACTATCGTAGCTGCTTTGAGCATAAGAACTAAGCATGTTTGAACAAGATGGAAAGGAAGATAGTAAGCAGATCATTTACACAAACACTATCTGCATGAGTGTCTCACAAAATACACAGCAACCTACCTTTTGATCAAAATATATAAATTAAGCTTGAAAGACTAATCTGGAAGACTAATCTGGCAGCTACCGTAATCAGGCATTGATATGTCTCATAGGCCAAATCCTATGGGACAACTTTCTAAATCTATATAGGAGTCGTTGTTGATCGCGTTAAATAACCCCATAAAAGCGGAATCCCCACCATATAGAGCTGGCCTAGGTATGAAATAACCATGTGTTGTATACAAGATGTGGCAATACTTTGCTTTCTTTCGGGTAATTGGATTCTGCTCAAAGTGGATACAGATCTTGCATGTATAACATCGTTCAAACAATATTGCATTTCCAAGAGAAACGGAGTTTCATTAACTTTATTGCCTCGGACTCAGATTTTTGGCTTGCATTGAGTAACGTACTTCGGCCCAAGAAAACTCCGAATTAGATGTGAAGCACATGTGCGATTTTATCTTCCAGAGAGTCAAAATTCTTGTATGATAGAGGAAGTTTTTCACAATAGAGTCTTTGCTAGCTAACATATCTTGATAGCTAGAAGCTATCTATATCCTAAAAATGCGCAATTAAAACTACATCCTCTTATGTAAATTAGTATATAGGGTTACAGAGTCGTAATTCATAAAGAACGGCTCTAGCTGGTCTAGATTGACTCTATTGATCTACTGCATTACACAGGCACAATGCGTCCCGAAGTCGTCACGGTATGGAAAATGTTGACAACAGAATGGTGTTACATTCGGCAATTAACTATCAGCGGATTCCAATCTTGTTCTGTCTTCAGGGGAGTAAATTGTGAACGTATACAGATAGACGGGGGAAGAAGAAAACCCTGTGATAAAACCTAGGTAAAGTAGCATATTCCTGCAAAGGATATAAAAGAAAGCCTAAACCAGTCAAGTTAACTACTTTATTTGTTTGCCAAACAAATTATTTTGTAAACAGATTAATATCTTTCTCTCTTTCTCAATGCGGGCCGCTATATTCTTCATTGGTCTTATGAATGGCGCCATGGTACTAGCAGCCCCGGCCATTGAGACGAATAGCAATGCTCCTCCCTCTGCAAGTGGATGTTTCCCATTGTGTGTTGACACATGTAGGCCCCTAACTATATTAAATAATTTATTGACAAACCTATAGTGAGAACCCTCGCTGTGGTATTGGTATCTATTGTCAGTGCCGAGATGGTAAAAGTCCCAAAAATTCCATTATAAAATTATCGATTTACACGAAGCATACTAAGATGAGCTTTAGGTCGCTTTTATCTCTTCAACCGTGCTACTGGAAACTGTGACCCTCCATGGGGCTATGTTGGCGATTCAATCCACTCGCTTCCTGGGTATCGTTGCAAGAAATAAATAACAGAGGTCAAGTCAATTGAGAGCCCTTTCAAGGTCAAATTGGCAGGTCGTTGGTAAAATGACAAAAGCATCACTATATCACTATTGAGCTGGACTATGTAGTCGATATTGTAGATTTATATTACGTAGTGGGATCAGGACCCCGAGAAATGATACTTAATGATGGTCTTCTGTACCTCTTGTGATTCCAACTGTGGGCTTTCGAGGCTACTACTCGCAATATAAGCCCTATTCCAAGGATAAAGGAAATAGGTCCCTCTACCGGTGGGCTATCTAGCAGCTATATAGAAGGAAACATTTGACGAGATTGATGCGGTAGTCCTGTTGGTCCCATCAACCATCGCAATTATCAATCTGCTAGGGGGATTTGCATTTGAAGAAGAACTTCACTAATCCGCTAGCTTGGTCTTTTAGAACATTAATTATCGTACGGATATGTGAATTCAGTGGTCCCATAGACTCACGAGGGTGGTTGTGAATAAAAGATCGCCGAGGCCCACATGTGCAGAGCTTAGTCTCAAGTCATCTGGACACTGACAAGAACATTAGGCTGATATAAAAAGGAGGAAATGTTCATAAGGTATTTCCAAATTTGACCGATTTCTCAAAATGAGACTGCTCTGACTTCCGGTTCAGCCTTTTAACGTTTGCTAAGACTTCTGGGTCGCACATCGCGACTCCACCTACAGGTCCAGGTCTCTCAACGCTTTCAGATCAACCCTCATCTTTTTATCTTTTCCAACTTCCCCATCGGTTTTCGCAAACTATTTCATTCCATGTATTATCAGGGTAGACTGAACAGAAACATGAAGAGCGCTGATAGTTCAGGAGAGTTGAGATTTGAAGAGGGTTGGTAGTCGAGTCGTGGAGAACTGAGAATCAAGCGGAAGACTTTGTTTTGATATTATCATGAGCCTCGAGTACTCTGCTTAGGATACAGTCGTTTGTTTGGGCGATAAAAGCAAGAGTACGCAGCCTTGTTGGTAAGCCTTCTTAGGATATCTCTTTACAGTCGTCAAGCACAGGTAAATATAGTTGAGCTCCAGGGCTGTCATTATATTTATCTCAAGATCAGACACTTCATGCCTCGAAAGTGATATCTTTCAATTCTACCAGTCAAACAATGCTTACGACACTAGAGAGCGAACCTCTCCGCACGTCTCCTTTTTTTGCATTCTTCTAGGTCGCACTATAGTCAAATAAAATTGCTCGATTCTACTTGGCGGCATAACTACTTCTCAACTGCGGAGACCTTGTAGCTTGACCTTAAGAATATATCAGAGCGCTGTGAGCGCGTTCATTGAGCAGCAGCCCCGGCGTTCGCAGATCGTATTTATGCCTAAAAGCAAGGCATACAAGGAACACACTCCCATAAAATATACACATAGGAAGATTGATTGAACGCAATACAAGCACTCAACTTTTGTCAAACCAATCCAAGATGGTAGGTTATATTCGTCAAGTGTCTGGCATGGGTTTCCTGAACCAAGGTGTCGGATATAAATCGAAGGATTTCTAAATATACAAATGGAAAATAAATAAAAAGCAGCAAAGTGTCTATGACAAACGCGCGAAGAGTGAAATCTGTTATATGTTCATCGAGAAGTCCAATATTCTTGACTACTATTTACGTTCTTCAAAACGTGCTTCGCAGTTGAACAGTCCACAAAGAGCTCTAATCCTAGGCTTATAACCCATATTTATGTGTTAACAGATTTAAGTGAGAGCTTCATTAAATTATATCAAGTTTTAGCCTTCTCTTGTGCTGGCGGGCTTGTTTTAGAATACAAATCCACTCGAAAAGAAGCCAAAAAGACGGACCAGATAAACTCCGTATCCATTTTTTGTTACATTACTAATGAACACTTGGAAGTCTGAATATAAACTACGAGATATACAGCGTTTAGAACCCTACATATAGTAATGGCTCAGATAACCTACAATGTCAAAGGTAGGAAGAGACGTCTATACTTCGGACATCCAAGGACCCGATCCGAAGATGAGTAATCAATGAGTCAGCACATGTTCGAGTGGACTTCAACCGATTTGTCCCTATGGATGTCTGAATATCGACGCGAGCAAAGGCCAGGCGTTCATCCGGCCATCTAAAATTCGACACAATAAGATCAGTATCGGAACGAACGCTTACATCGAACCTGGCTGAGCAGCACATCACTCTCTCAGCATCCCGATAGGAGCCACCTTCAACCCGCCCTGCGACCGAATTCAAAATGGCACACGGAGCCGAGGACTGCGCAACTGTCCTGGAGCAGTTTGTCCACGATGTGGCTAATCTTCCAGCTGAGATCAGCCACCTCATGGAGGAAATTCAGGCCAAAGACAAGGTTATGCAGGAATGCCGCGCTACTATCAACTCGCGCGACAGCAGTATTCAGAAATTCATCAAACTGAACGGCAGTTTGACACCGAACCCAAAAGAAGAGCCATACGCCAAGACTATCCTACAGAACATGGACAAATCCCACGAGCTGCAGAACGAGAAGATCCAGCTCAGCGAGAAGGCCTGCGTCCTCCTTGATCGGCAGATCAAACGACTCGATGTACGCATTCGCGATCTAGTGAACGAAGGCCTCCTCAGCAACGACCCGCCTCTCCCTTCCCTCTTCGACTCAAAAAACAAATACCGCAACCCACCCAAGATCTTCCTCCCTGACTCCACCCCCACCGACTCCCCCGCCTATTCAACACCCCTCAACCCGACTTCCGGAAACGCGAATCCCATCCTGGCTGCTGCGCAGCGCTTGAACCAATCTACAACACCTCGCACCCCCGGCTCCACAGTCCAAGTTGGACAAATCCCAGCACGCAGCTCCGCACCCGCTACACCCGCTGCTGCCGCCGTCGTGCACCTCCAGCAACGCCAACGTGAATCCTCTGCCGGGGCAGTGGACAGCAAGCGCCGCCGCTTGAATCCCTCTTCCAACACCCTCCCTGTAGCCTCGTCGAACCTGCGCCAAACTTCCACGGGGCCTGGTACACCGAAGCCTGGTACACCGGCTGGCAGCCGTGCAGGCAGTGTTGGCCCCCGTGCTAGTATCGGCGTCAAGAAAGCCCTGACCAAGAAGGTCGCGCCACACCAGCAAGTCAAGAAGCTAAAGACTGCCAGCGGGAAACCCATCAAACGTTCTTCCAGTGCTAGTGGTCGCATCAAGTCTTCGAAGAAATCTCCCAACGGAGAAGGCGATGAGGATGATGACTCCATGCTCAGCAGTGCTGATACATCGGACTCTGATAAGAGTGACGGTGCTGCTGATGATGATGTCGAGGACGAGGATGAGGATGAGGGTAATGAGGATTCGAAGGTCTATTGTACCTGTCGCACTGTCAGCCATGGGGATATGGTGGCCTGCGACAACGATGAGTGTCCCTATGAGTGGTTCCACTGGAAGTGTGTTGGCTTGACACGCGAGCCGGTTGGGACTTGGTACTGTGATGAGTGCAGACGGACTCTGGGCAAATGATCTTCTGTTCTCTTCTTTTTCTATGATTTGTATGACGGTTGATATACCCACGGCGTTTGAGGAACTTTTATGGTGTTGGGCTAGACTGCGCTGGACAAAAGTATCTACTTGTTACTAGTTTTACTGCATAATTCGAATAAACGGAATCAATTTCATCTTCTGTCTATTCTAGACAAGAACTGACACTAATTCCCGAGGGAAGATACGAAGCAGGGTTCCCCCCCTAGGTATTCATTCCCAGCTAGAGCCAAGCATATGTCCAAGCCGTGCCCATCCAGCGCCCAATATTCCCAGGGTCACTAGTGAGCCGGAGCCTAACCAAATCAAGTCGAAAACGCCATCGCTATGCACATATCCCCGTTTTTTGTTTCTTCCATGCAAACATGTTGGCACACGGGCGCACACAGTGCGCCGAAAGTCAGAAATCAGATGTTCGTGGAAAAGCCATTGCCAATCCACTCAGAACCCAAGCCCATTTCTTAGCCACGGGTCGAAGTACTCGCAAGTCTCCGGGCTCACTGCGCTGCCTGGAGCGCACAGCTTGAACACTGGACACTGGCCGCAAGGGGCTTCCGTCATGCCATTCTTCACCAAGTGCTTGTTTGCAATGGAGAGGTCGTCGCCCTCGATGGGCGCCTTGCGGGACTGTGCGGCTTTGACGGCTTCGGGGCTCTTGAGGGATCTGTACCATTCGCCGTTGCCTAGTGCGACGAGCTTGTTATCATAGCAGAGCATTTCGAGGAGTTGCACGACGCTCTCTTCTCCTAAACGGACGGGGGTGATGCCACTGTCGTTGACGGCGGCGGTGATCTGTGCCACGGTCGGGTATCCTGCGTAGCCGTGAGGATAAGGGAGGTAGGTTTTCTCATCCGACTTGACTTCTGCCTTGCCGGAGGCAGTCTTGATACGCTTGTTCTTGCGGTCTGAGGCGGGGACTTCGAACCAGCTCTTTCGGCTCACAGTGTACTCGATGTAGCCTGCGACGCTGTTGATGAAGTTGGCGTCCAGTACGCCGTCTGTGAACCAGGCTCCTCCGGTTACTTCTTCGCTCGGAGCAAGCCCGGCCAGCATGTACATCTTGCGGCTGGGGTATTTGACATTGTGGAGGGATTTGATGTAGTTTTTTCCTTCGAGGGATTTCAGGCATCGATCCAGGATCGACTTGTGCAGGTTCGTGCGGTTACCGATGTGCCGCACCCAGATGCCTGTTCGTTCTGTGGAGTGGATGACATTGTAGACCATGGCCTCGTCCGGTGTGAGGTTGCGGAGCCTGAAAGGAAACAGGGGTTAGTTACGTGGTTTATCGACCGAGATTGGTCTGTAGTTCTTACTTTTCGGCATCCTCGCGGTCAATGAGCTTCCATGTGAGCTTTCCATCTTTTTGGAGAAGTCGAAAAAGATTTTGATTGACGAGGCTCTGGGTGCATTCTAGTAGTAGCGCGACGTCGTTCTTTGGGATGACTTTGAGATTGAGAAAGTCGTTCTGGTAGAACAAATGATCGGAGTCAAATTCATTCACACATGCATCGTAAAGCTTGGAGGCAAGCTCGGCCACTTGAGACCCCGCGGAGGCCATTGTTGGAGATGCGACGGAGATATCAGGCAAAATCAAGGTTCATTCGAAGAGGCTCGGGGGTTTTCATATTCAAGGGAGTATATTAGAGCCAGGAGGTAAGTTAGAGGACCATGTTGCGTCGATGTCCTTGAATTTGAGTCACGAATGAATCACAGATGGTGTTTTTTGGCGACTTTTTCTCGGCGGGGAGCGACTTTGTCCTAAAAGGGTTTAGCCCAGCGGAGCTTCAATGTCAGCTTGCATGCCTGAGGTGTCTGTTGCCTGAGGCTTAAATGAATTGATGCCTAAGGCAGTAGAGTCCAACGGAAATTTCGAGAAGCTCCGACCGACTGATGAGCTCATCACATTCAGTTCCTTGTGATCTAGTTTTTGATCTTTCTCCTTTATACTGAGCAATTTAGCATACCACTACAACATGGCTGACGCATTGAAAGCAGAGGGCAACAAGGCCTTCTCCGCTAAGGATTATCCTACTGCTGTGTACGCGCTACCCCACCTTTTAACATTGTGCTTCTGTTAGAGCAGAGACTGATAGAGACCAGTGAGAAATTCTCTGAGGCACTTGCCATCGAACCCGAAAACCACATCCTCTACTCCAACCGCTCCGCTGTCTACTCCGCCCAGCACGAATATCAAAATGCTCTCGAAGATGCCGAGAAGGCGATCCAGATCAAGCCCGATTGGTCCAAGGGCTATGCCCGCAAGGGTGCTGCGTACCGCGGTCTCGGAGATCTCTGTATGTCATTCTAGCTCCGCATCAAGTGGTGGAACAACTTGCATTGTGACAAGGTGCTAACTGACAGCAGTGGCTGCGCACGATGCCTATGACGAGGCCCTGAAGATCGAGCCCGGCAACGCACAGGCCAAGTCCGGTCTGGAAGCGACCCAGCGCGCCATTAATGCGGAGGCTACCGCTGACGGTGTCACTGGAGACCCAACAGGAGGTCTCGGTGGCATGTTCAACGACCCGGCTCTGTTCCAGAAGCTGGCCAACAACCCCAAGACCGCCTCCCTGCTGGGAGATGCTGAGTTCATGGCTAAGCTGCAGAAGATCCAACAGAACCCCAACAGTGTTGGAGAGGAGATCCGCGACCCGCGTTTCCTGCAGGTCATGAGTGTGCTTCTCGGTATTGATATGAACTTTGGTGGTGAGGGAGCCGAGCCTCCTGCGCCTGCTGCTAACCCCAGCACCTCGCAGCCCAAGAAGGAGCCCACCCCCGAGCCCGAGCCAGTCGACGAGGAGGCGATCGCCAAGAAGCAGGCCAAGGAGGCTGCTGATGCCGAGAAGATGATCGGTAACGATTTCTACAAGAAGAAGCAGCTCGATGAGGCCATTGAGCACTACACCAAGGCTTGGGACCTGTTCAAGGATATCACCTACCTGAACAACATTGGCGCTGCCAAGTTCGAGAAGGCCGATTACCAAGGCACAATCGAGACCTGCCAAAAGGCTATCGAGGAGGGCCGTGATTTGCGCGCCGACTTCAAGCTGATGGCCAAGGCCTACACCCGAATTGGCTCTTCATACGAGAAGCTCGGCGACCTCGCCCAGGCTATCGAATTCTACAACAAGTCGCTGATGGAGCACCGCACCCCTGATACCCTAACCAAGCTCCGCAACGCCGAGAAGACCAAGATCACGTCCGAGAGGAACGCCTACGTGGACCCCGCCGAGGCCGAGAAGGCTCGCGAGCTCGGCCAGCAGAAGTTCCAGGCAGGCGACTGGCCCGGTGCCGTTGACGCCTTCACCGAGATGACCAAGCGTGCCCCCAATGACCCCCGCGGTTACTCCAACCGTGCCGCCGCCCTCATCAAGCTGATGGCATTCCCCGGTGCCGTGCAGGACTGCGACGAGGCCATCAAGCGCGACGCCAAGTTCATCCGCGCGTACATGCGCAAGGGTGCTGCCCTCATCGCCATGAAGGAATACAACCGTGCCCTGGACACCTTCACCGAGGCCGCCGACCACGACGACGGCAAGCACGCCCGCGAGATCGAGCAGCAGCAGCAGAAGTGCCTGGATGCCCAGTTCAGCGCTCGCGCTGGTGAGACCGAGGAGCAGACCATGGCTCGTATCCAAAATGACCCCGAGGTAAGATTTGATGTTACACAGAAATATTTCGCACGTACTAACTCTTTCCAGATCATGGCCGTCCTCCAGGACCCCGTTATGCAGAGCATTCTCCAGCAGGCTAAGAGCGATCCCGCTGCCCTGCAGGAGCACATGAAGAACCCGCAGGTGCGGATGAAGATCCAGAAGCTGATGGCTGCCGGTGTTATCCGCATGGGGCGGTAAATGGGTTCAGGGTGTAGAAGATTTTGAGGGATTTGGATACGAATTAACATGAGATACGAGATATCTTTGCCAGCATTATTTTTAGTTCCATATTGCTAAATTCCATTCTGCTTAGCATGCTATTGTCAGTGGTGCCTTGAATTGCGTGGTGCTGCAAATATAAGTATCTCGGTCGGAATTTGAATTGTGTACAATAGTGGAGGTTCAGCCCCGACATTAATCTTTCCATTATCGTAAAACCTCCTCAGCTCGGACTTTATCCACTTGAGGCGTTCCTAACCAGAGAAAAAAAAAAGAGAAAAAAAGACGCAAGCTTGTGGGGGTTTCCAGTGAAAAAAGCGAAGATCTTGCCGACCCATTTGATCTACCAATCATAACATGCCCATCAGGGGATTCAATCTCCGGGAGATCTCATTTTAGCCATCGAACACTGGAGTACACACGGGAGTGGAAATAACCTCTCAGATCAGGTCCTCAGATCATGTCGAGTCTTCTGGATGTGATAGATCGACTGCGGTTTGTCCATCCAATTATAGTGCCACTGTTAAGTACTTCTGTACCTTCGATATCAGCATATTAGTTTGTTCCTCGGTAAATCCAACCCATATCCAAAACTTTGAGAGATGGTGGGTTTAGGCTTGGCCGATCTACCCAATCGGGCGTAGGGCACGATACTCGATAGTATAATAAAGTGCGCAATGTGAGATACTTTGATCTTTGCTCCTGCATGCCACGTGTACCTTGTAGCGAACATACCATATTGGCGCCGAGATCCATATTTCGTTGCCTAGAGTGGTCTGACAAAATAGAAAAAGGGGCCATGACTTCAACCCTAAGGTTCCCTGAAAAGGGAATTTATCATATCTGTTGATCTCTGACCCTCTATTGACCCTCTGTGGCGGTGCTGAAAGCTCGGGTCAAATCTAATAGTCGGAATTGAGTCTCCTCATTGATACGATTGAATTATAGACAATTGAACAGATACAGAGTACACTGTATAACACATTGAACTGATGACCATATAGCCTCATACACAATGCCTCTGGACAAGTATGCCTTAAAAAGTCATGCTGGTCCAGGGTGTACGTCACTGATCTGCGATCGACCTAGAAGCTTACGATCTCCCCT